ATTATTTTATTTATTTATTTATTTTTGTCTATCTGTCTTAAACAAGGCTCTTTCTCAAACACGTTAATAATAATAATAGGAGAAAGGGAAAAGGCATGGCGGGCGGGCGGGCGGGCAGGGTCAAAATGAAAACCCGCTTGTTGTCTGTTTTTTTTTTCTTTTTTTTTCTATTTTCAGGCCACGGACTTCCCGCTTCTCTCCAGCTTTCTTTTTTTTCTTTTCGCTTTCTTTTTTGCGAACTCCTCCGGCGGTTTCTATTGAACTACGAAGGGCGAATAAAAATGTCTAAAGAAACTTTTGTCACGATTAATTCCTACCCGTAACCTTCAATCCTCCACATTTTGATCCGTTTCTTCTTAATTGTACCATGTTTCTGCAGTTTCTTCTCAATTCGAGTGCCTTTAGATCCTCCAAGGTTGTTCGTCACTCCGTTCTCGTCAAGAACGATCCATTTCTGGATGCTGGATTCTGGATTCGTTTTTTCCATCCCAGACGGTGCTATAGTGTTCCGAATTCTCATCCTCATCAATCGTGTACGCAGTTTCTTCTTCTTTCTGTTTTATCTCTATTGATGCCTGTTCGATGGTTTTGGAAATCAACGATTATATTTTTTTTTTATTGTCATGTCTGAATTCGGAGGTGGAAGATTTGGAGATGGAAGTGGGCGAGTTTGATATCTTGTTATGTGTGAGAGTGATGACGGTAGTGAGAGGAATTCACTTGACTAACCCGCATTTTTACGCCATAGCGTCGATGGTGCTGTTGTTTATGACGTTCAGAAGTTTTGTTTCTGTACTCTGCACTGAGTTTAAATTTATAGGAATGCTCTTTGTTGGACTTGCACAGATTTCTTCACCCCAAAAATATGGTTGGGTAACTTCTATTTTTTATTTTTTATTTTGCATCGTGTCAACCGTTTTGCAGGCTCTTGAATGCTCAATTTGAAAGGGACGGCTAAAACTGTAAGGAAGAGATGGCAACCTCACCGACCGCTGAAAGGGATGAGGAACATGGCCTATCTGAACAGAAAGATGGAGGAGAGTCTACAGTGCAGATTGAACAGTCTTCGACAGTTAGCGAAGATAGCCCCACACAAACAAAGGATAAGGGACTTGATGAAATAGAAGAGGATAAGAATAACGATTCAAACTGTGAGACTCAAGATGAAATAGAAAAGGATAACGACGACAATTCATACTGTGAGACTCAAGATGAAATGGAAAAGAATAAGAACAACGATTCAAACTGTGAGGCTCAAGATGAAATCGAAAAGAATAAGAACAATGATTCAGACTGTGAGTCTCAAGATGAAATAGAAAAGAATAAGAAAAACGATTCGGACAGTGAAGCTCAAGATGAAATAGAAAAGGATAAGAACAACGATTCAGACTATGAGTCTCAAGATGAAATAGAAAGCAATAAGAACAACGATTCAAACTGTGGGACTCAAGATGAAATAGTGGAGAGGGAGTACGTCGAAAGTGAAGTGCATCACGAGGTGGAAGCCGAACTGGATTTCCAGTCTAAATCTGAAGCTGAAAAGCCAGACCAGATTATTAGAAATGACGAGTCTAATGAAAAACTAGATGATGAGGTTAAGAATGCAGAATCTGAATCATCGTCAGATGATTCAGACAATGATGGTGAAGGTTTAGATTCTAAGGCTCAAATTGGGACAAACCAATCAGGTGGAGAAGTTCTTAGTGAGGAGAAAGCTCCAGAGCCAGTGTTTGATGGGACTGAAGTTCCTGGGATTGAAGTTAGTGGGAGTTTGTCAAACCGTTCCATGGATAGTGATTCAGAGGTCGTAGGTGTTGTTGACCGGGCTTTGGCACTGAAAAACTTTGTTAAGGAAAAGGGAGTAATTGCAGTCTCTAGTGTTTTGCGTCGTTTTTCGGGAAGAAGAGAGGAAGGAGGTCCGGATATTCCTAATGGTGAGTCTAAGCCTGATTCTAGTTCCAATAAAGATGAAGCCAAGGAAACCCCTGAAAAACCTGTAGAAAGATCTTCCTGGAACCCCCTCAACTATATTAAGATATCCCGTGATGCTGATGCGCAAATCAAAACTGAGCAGGTGGAGGATTTTACTGGAGAACCATCATTCGATCTTGTTATAAAAGGCAGAATTGTGCTGTACACGCGGTTAGGTTGTCAAGACTGCAAAGAGGCTCGACTGTTTTTGTTTTGGAAGAGACTTAGATACGTGGAGATCAATATTGATGTTTATCCGGGTAGAAAGCTGGAGCTTGAGAAAATTGCGGGGTCTTCTGCCGTTCCAAGGGTGTTTTTTAATGAAATCCTTATTGGAGGCTTGAATGAACTAAAAGAGTTGGATGAGTCTGGCAAGTTCGACGAGAAAATTGAGTATCTGAAAAATGTACCACCATCCCTTGAAGCCCCTTTACCACCTCTCTCTGGTGAAGACGACGTCTCCAGTGGCGGGACTGTTGATGAATTGGCTATGATTGTTCGGAAAATGAAAGAATCTATTGTTGTTAAGGACCGGTTCTGCAAAATGCGACGATTCACCAGCTGTTTTCTAGGCTCTGAAGCTGTTGATTTCTTGTCAGAGGATCAATATTTGGAAAGAGACGAGGTGAGTAAGTGTTATGTAACCGCATCGCTTTGCTCTTTGTTTTGGTGTTTAAGTTATAGTCCTTAGGTAAATAAATCATCCTTGAGATGACTATGATTTATTTATTTATGGGTTAAGGAATTTGTTGTTTTGGTGCAACAATCAGGCTATTGAATTTGGACGAAGGCTCGCAAGCAAACTTTTTTTCCAACACGTTCAGGAGTAAGTTGGTTAGCTTTTCCGTTTAGTGTCCGGGCTGCCACCCATTTCATTTGTCATTAACAATCCTTCTTTCAGGGAAAATCTATTTGAAGATGGTAGCCACTTATACCGGTTCTTGGATGATGATCCCATTGTGGCAACTCAATGTCACAACGTTGCAAGAGGAATAATTGAGGTGAAGCCAAAGCCGATAACAGATATTGCATCAAGACTGAGATTTTTATCCTTTGCCATTTTTGAAGCCTATGTATCAGAGGATGGAAGGCATGTAGATTACAGAAGTGTTCATGGGAGTGAGGAATTTGCTAGGTCAGTTCGTTGCATGAATTGGGAAAGGAGCAGGGTCAAGTGTTTTTTTCTTCTTTTTTTGTTTTGCATACAAGGAGGAATCTTTGATTTAACGGCAATATTTGACAGGTATTTGAGAATTGTGGAAGAGCTCCAAAGAGTCCAAGTGCAAAATTTGTCACGGGAAGAGAAGATCGCTTTCTTTATTAATCTGCACAATATGATGGCCATCCATGCTATATTGGTATCTGGACATCCTCTTGGAGCGATAGAAAGAAGGAAACTGTTCGGAGACTTCAAATATGTTATTGGAGGGGCCACCTACTCCCTTTCAGCTATTCATAATGGAATCTTGAGGGGCAATCAGAGACCACCTTACAATCTCATGAAACCATTTGGTGCCAAAGATAAACGTTCTAAAGTGAGACAATCCCCTTCTTGGTCTCTACTACTAATTCTATGATCTAATTAATGGAACAAGATTGATTACATGCATGTCAATCTGATCATTCATGAAAGTCTTAGGCTGCTTGTGATGCTCGTGAATCTTCTTTAGTTAAGATTTTGAGACCACACCCTTTATTTGCATACAAGTTTTAACTCAAGTACGGTCATCTGGTTTTTCCCTGATGGTTGATCATAAGCTCAAAGTTTGAGTTTTCAGGGTCTGATTAGTATTGTTCTTATTATTTTTATAGGTTTCTCTTCCGTATGTGGAGCCTTTAACTCATTTTGCACTAGTTATTGGTACCCGATCTGGGCCTGCTCTTCGATGCTATTCTCCAGGCAACATAGATCATGAGTTGATGCAAGCAGCACGAAGTTTCTTAAGAGACGGAGGACTTATCGTGGATGTGAATAACAATGTTGCATCAGTTAATATGATTCTTAAATGGTAAGATGAAAACAGTTCCTCACAAAGTTTCTGGTTTGATTTTAAACATTTATCAGTACTATAGTTTCGATCATCACCTCATTAAATTTTCATTTAGGTCCGTAGTACTTAGAGGTAGACTTGCTCCCTTCCCTTAGTTACAGTCACAATCATCATTTCATAGGGAAAATTTTGTTAATTTGTCTTGGAAGAAGCGCTGTCTTGGAGATTTTGTAGATTATCGTCCTGAGGCCTTAGGTCCAATCTTTTAGATGGAAATCTCTATAAAGAATACTCTTGACATATCTAGATCGGGAATTTTTTAAAGATGACTCAGCCCAATTTATTGTTTTCTTGCGTAGCCTGAGTTTTAAGAATCAACCAGAGGTGAGTGATATCAAAGGGAATGGACAGTAATGATATTTTGTTTTAGATATTGATGAGTGCTAAACAAGTTCTTTGGCATCCCCATCATTGCTCAGGTTTAGCACAGACTTTGGGAAGGACGAGCAAGAAGTTCTGAAGCATGCATCAAACTACTTGAGGGCAGAAGATGCTCAAGCACTGCTTGAAATGCTTGCTGGTTCCCAATTGAAGGTAGTATATCAAGCATACGATTGGGGTTTGAACTGTTAACACTGCTTTAGTCAAAACCAAACAAACCTAAAGGTATGAATTTAGGAAGTTTATGTATGTGTTGCCTCAAGATCCCAAAAGGAACCAAGGCATTATATACTGCGTTGTCTAAACTAGCGCGCGGTTGTTTAACGCCAATTTATTGTCTTTTGATGAGTAGCTTGAGGAGAGCAATTATTGGAGTTTTTCTTTTTTGTTTACCAATGTTGTAATGAATGCAATATGCATCTCTATACCAAAGTATAAAAGTATTGCCGGTTTCTTGATCACTCTCGGATTTTTGTAGGCGGGGGAAAGAAATCTCTATCCTATCACCAAAACACTCAGGAAAATCTTTCTAAATTTTTTGCACCACCAACCTGAGCCTAGAAGGAATTAACGATTAATAATAATTTACTCGACAGATGAGATGATAAAAACAAGTTTCTATTAGAAAGTGAAGAAGCCCAACTTTTTCAATGCAAACAAATTATAACTGAACCAAAAGGCAATCTAGCGCATTATTAATCATAATACAATTGTAAATCCTCACAGTGCGAGAAAGAACGAAGCCGGAATAGCACAGCAGGCAGACATGCTCGAATCATATCTTCATATGCCAATTAAGTTGTTTAGATCCTCACATCGTCTTCTCAAGAACTATACACCAGTTTGATTTGTCATAAAATCGATCCACCACTACTGCATTGTCCATACCAGAAACCAACCTGCACATACACCCCAAGGTAAACAAGGAAGTCAGATAAGAATTCGTCTTGAAGCACGATAGACTGAGTTCTGTATTTCTACAGAGTCATGAAATCTTCAGTCGAAAGATGGAAATGATGCCAAAATGGGGAATGATCCCGGTTAACAGTTATTACTTAGTCACACATTACTGGTGCTTCTTTCTTTCAACTTTAGTCACACATCCCGGTTAACAGTTATCCCCCTTTGTTCCAACTTTCATCCAGCTGACTAAAAGTTTATAGTTTATGCAATGCATCAAGTATCAGAGGGAGCGAATAAAAGACAGATCTAGAACAGCACAGTCCCGCCCGAAATGAGAAGTATTCAAAAGACTCACGCATACTGAATAAGCAAAAGGAGACGAGAAAAATATATTATACAAGAGAGATGAAGGAGAGGAATACCTTTCAAGCTCGCCTTCGCTGAAAACATGATAGTATCTGTTATAGACAACAGCAGCTTTCTTGTCATCTTTCTTTGCCAAACCACTAGCAAGGGCACCGGCAGACGTGCCACTAACTTCTGCACGATGATAAGGTAAGTGCCATGGGACAAAATACTCTTGTTGGGTCTTCCATAAATTTTCATCATTGCAATTGGCAAAATCATTTCCACCTTGAGAGGGTAGAGGTATATTTTCCGGCATGCTTCCAGTAAAGTTTACCTTGGAATCCTTTAGATAAGTACCTGAATTATTTTCATTCATTTCAGGAATGCTTTCAAGTGCCAAAGACGATGGACTACGAACACGGGGGCTGCCAGGTCCAACCCACTCTTCAACATACTTCTCTGAAAGTGGCATCCATTTCGTCAATAAAGATTTGTCCTCTTGTTCAACAGCCCAGACTGTTATTAAAACTAGGCCACCTTTTTTGACAACACGTAATAATTCTTCAATTGCTTTCTTCCTCCTGTTCTCGGTACTCAGATGATGTAATACAGCTATAGAGATTGCTGCATCGCCAAAACCAGTTCTGTAAGGAAGATTTACAGCGTCAGCTACCAAAACTTCATGTCCTCTTTCGTTACAAATTTTGATAAGTTGGGGACTAATATCACATCCAATAAAAAAGCAGTTGAGATTAAAACCCAAGTACTTTCCATTACCACAACCAGCATCCAGTATGAGAGACCCTCGAGGTAATGAGGATAAGAATGATGCAACTTTTGGCCACTTTGCAAATCGAGTGGAACTAAAATGGGGAGCGATTGCATCATAAACACGATGCACATACTTCTTTTCAATTTCAGGGGTGCACTGCACATTTGATGCTGAACATCCCTGGTTTGCACAAGACAGTTGCGGTGCATGTGCTTCATCGTTCAACAGATGAGGATCTGCATTACTGCCACCTTTCACTTTAATCTCTTTCATAGCACTGAAAAGTCTACAATGATGTACGCTACCACTTACAACCGATGATAAACCAAAGATCTTGCTAGTATGACAGAAGCGTTTGCTCACTCTTGAAGCCCAATAAAAGGCTTGAGGCATAAAAATTAAGCTAGGTGTGCCCTGCAAGAAACCAACGCTCTCTAAGGTCTAAATTTATCGCTGTTCTATCACTAAACAGAAGACAGTTATAAATATACAGATGCACACACTTTTTTTTTTTTAATAAGAACAGACACATGTAAGAAACAAAAATAACTAGTTAGATTCCAACGTTACAAGGAGCAGGCTAAAAGGACATCTCCCATGCCACAAAATGGGTGATTATAAGAAGCACCCCCGACATATATTAATTAAGATGATAGAAATTATAAGTTACAAAAAAAAAAAAAAAAAAAAAAAAAAAAAAAAAAAAAAAAAAAAAAAAAAAAAAAAAAAAAA